CTGTCCCACCTTTTTTGGAATGTGTAGCTCTCATGAAATCCAAAATGAGCCAATATTTGGCATGACATTTCAAAATGTCTCACTTTCAACATTTGATATGTTATCTATATTCTATTGTGAATAAAATATAAGTTTATGAGATTTGTAAATTATTCCATTCCTTTTTTACTCACAATTTGTACAGTGTCCCAACTTTTTTGGAATTGGGTTTGTATATAGATATTATGTAAAATACTGGTAAATAAAACTACATTTTTATAAATGTTGTAAACACTAAAAGCAAGTATTTTACTTCCCCTTACTTCACAAAAATCCTTCAAATTTTAATGGTATACGGAACAAGAATGAAAAATATAAAGATAAAATAAACCCAATTTCTTGTGCCCTTCATTATAAACAGCTTTTAAAGCGAAACTGAATACCAGAGTGTGGGAAATGCGCTAAATGAATAAACTTGACATGCTTAACAAGCACAAACTGTAAAAGTTGAATGTGTGGCAAAATCTGTAAGCCCATTATATACACATTATATAGCTGCATTATATTAGTTGAATTAGTTGAACTGAGACTGTTCTTTGTTAGCATTCCAGCAACGAGTCTTTTTGGTCACTTAATGATTGATGCTAGGTCAGTGTTTGAGTCTGGTTGATCAGTATCTGCTACCACAGACCTCTTGACCCTGGTCTTTTGTACAGGGTGATGTGGAGGAGGTCCGTAAGCTCCTTGCTCAGGGAGCCAACCCCAACCTGAAGGACAATGCAGGCTGGACACCACTGGTGAGCCAAGAGCAATCACACACAATCCTACATAAATCTTTTACACAGAACACCCTTGCCTCTTGTTCGAGGTTGTCTGGGCTGAAAATGGTTGGAAAGCTTTTCCCTGTATGTACAGTAATATATGTTACCCTAGCACAGGGGTAGGCAAGTTCGGTCCTAGAGAGCCGCAGTCCTGCAGAGTTCAGCTCCAACCCTGAAAAAAAACTCACCTGCCTACAGCCTTAGTAATCCTAAAGACATTGATTAGATTGTTCAGGTGTGTTTGATTAGGGTTGGAGCTGAACTCTGCAGGACTGCGGCTTTCTAGGACCGAACTTGCCTACCCCTGCCCTAGCAGAATGCTGTAGGTTCACTGAATACTAAACTGTCTTAATGGTTATTGTAAATTTTACCATTACCCTTCTGTGTTTGTGGTTGTTTTTCAAATGTTTATCCTGTATATATGAAGTGTAAGATCAATGTAGCTTTTTGCATTTGGAAATGGTAAAATGAAATATGTACACTGGTAGTGCAAATTTTGCATCTTTTGCTACACAAATAAGCTTGTACATTTACTGTTTGTGCAATATTTTAGAAGGGACAAAATTCCACAGCAAGGTATAAAATAAATTCAGTGCAACAAGCAATACTACTATTTTATTTTATTTATTTATATATATATATATATATA